ATTCAGCGAGGTGAAAAGTAGTAGCGTCGAGTATCTCTAAATCGTAATATAAACATACTTACGAGATGTACTGCTTACATACTCATAGAGGGTGTATACCGAATTGTAAATATGAAGGTAGTACTAGTCACGAAATATATATCACATATATGTATTTATATGCGTGGGCGTGTGTATATGTGAGTGGGTGGATGTATTTACGTCGCAAGTAGAAATCGATATTGTCGCGTAAGGATTCACTTCGCTTACCGATCGTTCTACGATAAGTAAAACGTTTCAAAATAAGTCAGTAAAAATTCAATTTTTGATATACAATATTGGGTTGTTTCAGAAAAAGTGTCCCCAACATTTTTTATTATACAATTTTATATTTAATATAATACTTTTCTATTATTCATTGTATTAACCAATGATATTATATAAAATACAAATTATTATATATTTAAATATCGAATTGAAGAAAAAATCATCTACTTATTTACCCGATGAATAAATTTAAGATAACATTATTAATTCTGATGTTAAAAAGATTCGAGATCATTCGTAGATGATCAATAAATTAAAAGTACGGATAAAAAAAATATTGTGTTAACATTTTCCATTGAAATAGAAGATAAAATGTTAATTTTTCTTGAGATAATATATATATATATTTAAATAAATTAGATTTTAAAACCGAATATATGTTTAAACTCGCACGAATGATTATCAATAAGGAAGGAAGGAAGAAGAAGAAGAAGTATTGGTTAGTGAAGTGTGATGAGGATCGTGCAGTTGCTCAGAGAGTGGAATAGAAGTGGTGGCGAAATCAGGATGCCGGACGATCGAGCAATCCGATGATCGCACCCTAATCGAATTAAACTCGGCGCGTGTACTCTGCTGGTGTATTTACGATGGGCTGACTCGTCGCTTTGGATTTGCTACGTTCGCGCGATAATGGCCGATAGATTGGTTGGTTGGTTGGTTGGTTGGTGCGTTGCCGTTCGACGAACACTGAACCGACCTCGATCTCGAACACTCTTATCAACTCCTACCCTTCCAAAGCACGTCTCAATGCTGATCTCCAAAAGATTACGTCCAAAGTCCAGTTGGTTACGTCAAAGATCTTGAAAATCAGCAAAATTTGCTCTTCAATGGTATATCCTAACTATATATAACACCTTTCGTAAAAGTTCACGCGTTTCTTTTCTTTTTTTTTTTGTCATCCAATTATCGATTTATTTTTTTTTTTTCATTTTGATCTTTATACTTGTTTTATACTCAATTATAACTTTGTTTTTGTTTATCGATTATCACCACTTGTACAATATATATTTGCAGATGAATTTATTTTACTTAAGTACATATTCTACATATTTACTTATATACAGGGTATATTGTATAAATGATAAATTTAAATCGAATGTAAAATTGATCAAGTGTATAATTATTTCATGAAAACTTTTCAAACTTATTTTTATCAAAAACAATACCTTGCATGAATAAATTTTATTATTCTATATATTCAACTTATGGTTAATCTTTCGTTTAGAATCATCTTCATGTTGATTTGCATTAGTAGTTTACAGAACACTCCGTGCATATGTATGTCGAATGCGTGATAAATATTATGCGTTATTTGATCGTATTATATCGATAAAAATAAAAAGCGATCGAACAACTAGGACAAAAATATCGTTTCGAATTTTCCCATATATTTTCCATATTCGATTAAATAAATCTACCACATATAAAATATCCATTTTCCTGAGTTCATCATCATCGATGTGAAATAGAAAAAGAGATGAAAAAAATAAATAAAAAATAAATATGAAAAAAAATAATAGTAAGAGAAATTTAAGAATACGATACTCACACATTGAAATGTACAATTCCTGTATTTTAAAAAATTCAAAGCAAGTAAGATCGATATATATGTGAGAACACTCGAAACGAATTTCTTCCGAACGAAATGATTTTTGAGAGGTAGCTAGAAAGAAAGTGAAAGAGAGGTTTCAAAAGAGGAAACATTTCAAAGGAAGAATATTCTCTCTGTTTGCCTGAATATACGGGATTTTAAAACGATGCAATTTAGAATATTCATAGATCGTTGTAGCATGTATAACGTACCGATAAACCGGACTAACGCGGAACTGAATCGAGCCGAACCGAACCTAGCGAAACGCACGAGCCTTTGCCAGAGATAGGACATTCCATTTTGATGGTTAAAAGATGCAATGGTAATTGAATTAATGAATCATTCGTTCTACAGAGAGAAAGAGGAATGAAGTGAAATGGAGGCGGTGATCCCGTTCGTAACAGAATACTTATTTGGATTACAATATAATGGTATGGTTTAGTATTATGTAACTATCGTTTAAACATTTCAACAAGGGATAGTAAACGACTTAATAATTCTTGTTCAAACGTAGTTCGACAAAGTAATGTATGATTAAATAATGGATATTGGATAAGTAAGCAAAAACGGGATAGAAAACAAGATAATGGCAACAACAAAAAAATATAAAATCGTCTTCCGTATTATTTGCATTACTTTAATCCGATAAATAATTCGTTATCATGTTGTTACACTGATATAAGCCGATTAATTAATTATCTAACGATACATTTCGGATCTGCTATTAATTTTTAAACCTGACCTTAATCATTTCTTTTTTCTTCTTCTTCTTTTATTTTTCCATTGTCAAGTTTTTAAGAGAAAGAAAGGAAGAAAGAATGAAAGGTAGTATCTTCTATAATATTTGTTGGGTAAAAGATTTTTTTTAAGGGAAGGAGGGAGAATGGTGGGCAAAGGCTTTCGTTCGCGATAGGCAGCGTATTAAAATGCATCAAGTTGCATATAGCTAAGAAGAAAGATTGATCCTGTAGCATCCCTTAGTGACTGTCAAGTTAGCAGAGTGGCATGGAAGCAGACTTTTCGTAATCGAAGAGCCTCGAGAAAGTAGACGGAGGGAAAGCTTGCCAGATAGAAGGAAGAGGAAGAGGAAGAGGATGGGAAGAAGAAGAAGAAGAAGAAGAAGCAGGTGGAAGATGAGGAGAAGGGGAAGTAGAGAAGAGAGAAACTCAGCTGCAAGGCGGAAGCGCCTAATACCACTATTATAGACAGCCGAGTAATCCTGCAGATGGGTCCTTCTATGACCGTGATTGCTCGTTCGAGACGGCCAACCTACATACATACCCACTGTACAAGCTTCTAACTAACCGACGTTATCTACGTCGATTTTTACGGAAAGAGATAACTTATTTTAGATGTTTCTTTATTCTTTTTTTTATTTTTTAGACCTTTTTTTCTATTTTAACGAAAGAAAGAGAGAAATAAAAATAAGAATCGTTAAATGTTCTTGAACGAGTAGAAAGGATGAAAAATCGACTAAGTAAAGATGAAGAAGGCCAAATTATGTCTCTTCCTCTTTCCTACTTATTCACATTCACGAAAGAGAGACAAAGAAAAAGAAAGGACAATTTGAAAGCAAATTAAATTTACTTCCTAGGCCACGAGAGCTTTTTCCTATCCTTCTTATTCTTTCTCTCAGGTTTCTTTTTGGCAATCAAACGTGCAAGCAAAGAGGAATCAAGCGCATGCGTCGTTTGAATTCCCTCCCCTCTTTCCTCTTAAAGGGGAATTCTCTCGTCATACAGCAAGCAAGCAAGGAAGGAAGGAAGCAAGCAACCAACCAACCAACCAACCCCTTGGCGCATACCCCGTTCATGGTAGCCGCAGCGAGACCGAAATTCGATCCTCTCTCTCTCTCTCTCTCTCTTTCTCTCATCCTCTTTCACCTTCTTCTAACTACAAGGAAGTTCAGTGGCATAGTAATCAGAGGGATACGACAAGCTAGGAGGGCCTGCTGAGACAGCGTTTCGAATTATTACGGTAATACGCGTATATTTGAAACGGGAATTGGAGGCTCTCGTCTTGCTTTTCACGTCGAAATGTGAAACCCTCTCCCTCTCTATCTAAAAGAGGTGAAAGGGGAAGGAGAATGGTGGACGCTGCAGGGTATATGTTCTGATCGGAGGACAGCAGCCATTTTACGGATCGCTTTGCACGATCTATTTGTTAATCGATTCGTTGGTCAATTACGAGAACGCACGTTAACCTAACGCGAATTCGCCCCCGCGTTTATCGTTCATAGTACGATAATTCGATATCGTATGGTAATAGGTAGGGTATATCTATTATTACGAAACGTTTCGATAATTCTACCTATGTGTAAGAGAGAGAGAGAGAGAGAGAGAGAGAATTTAGATAGAAATTTCCCTAGGAGGCAAGTAATAGTAAGTATACGTTTCTCTCTACGCTACTGAACCCAACGTACTACTTAGCTTTGTATACACCAATGCAGAAGTACGACGAGTATAAAACGACGTTCTTGTGTTTGACCAGAGTACACGCGCGCACATACACACGTACACACAAATGTTCGTGCAATCACCTGCTTGCTCTCTCTCTCTCTCTGTAAAGAGAAGGAATATATGCATACGTGTACTACATGTACACTTACTTACTTACTTACTTACATAGCCATATATATATGTATAAGTGTATACATAAATGAGAAGAGACCACACCTACTACGTAACTTAACGTCTCAGAGTTTGCTGCTAGTGTTCTTGCTTACATTTGCCTAACAGCGTTAACGGATCCTGATCCAAATATCAGACTTCGTGCTTCGAGGAAGACCGCAAGCGGCCTTACTTAAAATGATCTTGCCAAAGCTTCGGGAAACCGCCTCGTTTAGCAGCCTCTTTGGACTACCTCGATTCTCGTGTCTTCTTTGATAGCAACTGTCGGATCGTTTGATCTACAGAAATTTTATGCGAGGGCAACGTGCCAAACTTTTCTTCTTGCCTTGGAACATCTCGATCCTTTTTTTTTTTATTTTTACATTTTTTCTTTCTTTTTTTTCGAAATAAAAAGAAAATACCAAGTTATGCTTTCGTTGGTGAGATTCCACCAAACTTGGACTAAGTTTGCATTTTTTTTCTTTTGCTTTCAGATGAGCGGTAAACGTACGAGAAGTTTCAAATGCGCGGTCCACCATCGTGACCGTGAGGTATGCTCGGAAAACGACTTCCATTTGCTAGTTCACGAACCACCCTTGTTTCGCAGGTAATGTTTAATCTTCGATTCTTTTTCTGTTATACAAAATTCGTGATATTTTAAATATTACATAATCAGTATCGTTATAAAAAATAAATGCAAATACATGAAATATTTAATACAATAACATAATACAAAATATGTAATCTGTTTAAAACAAATCCATCGAGAATAAAATTAATACATTTTTTCGACGATATAATTAATCGTAAAATCAGTAAAAGAAAATGTAATCACCGAATACAAAAATCACGTTTACCTTTCATTTTTTAAAATAGAACAAAAAATAAAAAAATAAACAAACAAACACGACAAGAAAAAAAGGAAACTTATCTAACCGAGCTAAAGGTAGAGAGTATAAAAGGGCAAACTCAGATAAATCGATACTTTCTCTCTCTCTCTCTCTCTCTTTTCCCTTTTCTCTGTGACATCTCGCGGAGACGGTAAAAAGGAGGTTTTCCCGAAGTATAGAAAAAGATAGAAAGAAAGAAATACGGTTTCTCTCTCTTTGACGAGGGGGTGAATCTTACCTTTCCTAGTAGTACAGAAGAAAGATGCGCAAGGTGAACGGATAAAATGAGATAAAAGAAAAAGAAAACGTCGTGGGGTCCTGTGTTTTACTATTCCACTAGAATATCTTACCGTACGTACCGTACATATATATGTGGGGGATGGAGAACAGTAAAGGGTGGGAGACACGACCGTTCTTACTGTGTTTCTGCTCTGCATTTTATGCGCCGCATCGTTACCCATGCGAGGGAATCTCGAGCGTGGGAGGAAGGGGAAGAAGGAGGAGGGGGAGGGACAGAAGAGTAGAAAGAGTGGCGACGTTGCTTGTAGCTCGTACGACCCGCGAACCATCAACGTCTTCCTGTTTCTCTTCTTGGCTCAACGACGAGAACGATCTCCCGTTCTTTATTCCTTCTTACCTCCCTCCTCCCCCTGTTACCCCATCCCACTGATCCAACTACTTCTTTCTTTCTTCCTTTCTTCCTTTCTTTATTTCTTTATTTCTTTATTTTGTTACTCGTCTTTCTTCGATTCGCGAACGAATTTGGAGGAAACGTCTGGCGCGTTATTTAAAGATTTAACTTCACTACGAAATAATATGACTTTGGATGAACGAATTTCTTTTTCCCCCCTCTTCTTCTTCTTCATACGCGAATAACTTTTCATTGTAGGAATCTCGGATATTTTTGTAAAAAATTGGAATGAATGTAAATGATGATAATTGATTTATTTAACAATGTTTAATTCTTTGTTTTTGATTTAAAGGATACCTATTATTTGAACAGAGAAGTTATAATCTATTGTAGAAATTAAAACAGAAAAAATTATACTAATATTCGTATTCATTGAACGTTTTTACTTATGTTAGTTTCGTTGAACGAACGATAGGCAAGTAACGCAACCACCCTCTTTTCCACGCGCGTTCTTCTTCATTTTCCAAGACTAATTACAACTTAAGCCAAGACTAAGGAAACTAATTGTATGTAACGTCCGATCCTTAAAGCTCGTTATCTTCGTGATTAATGATGCAGAGCTTTTTTTCTTTATCTTTCTCTTTCGAATGGAAAGTTCGGAACAAACGTAGATAGATATACTATTACTTCTTCTTTCTCTTTCGCGTTTTCCACGCTTTTCTCGAGTTTCTCGCGACTCTTAAGTACTACCAACTTACTGCTATTACTACTATTACTATTACTACTACTACTATTACATTTTCTCGTACTTTCTCTAGCAGTAGTTCTACGGTGGAACGTAATGGTTCAGTAAAAATCGTCGTTTTCTTATAAAATTCTATGTTCTTTTAATAACTATCGGAATTTACCTCGTTTTGTAAACTTAAAAATAAAAAAAAAAAGAAACCAAAATTATAATCAAAGTTCATATAAGGGGAATAAAATAATTTAAAGTCTCTCAAGAGTCACTTTACAGACAAAACATCAATATCTATTTATTAAATATAATATTTTATTCCTCGTTACAAGATACAAATATTTAATTACATAGTTATTAAAATATAAATATGACAATGATAAACTTATAATAGTACGAGTAATAAATTAACCAACATAATTTCACTAATAGAAGATTATATTTGCTATTTGAAATGTTCGAAAATAGAAATCTTTTACTTCATCCGATTTATTAGTTTAACTAATCACCTACTGCATTTTAATTTGATAATATAATTTTGAGGATATTTAAATAGTATCTTTATAAGATTTAGAAATCTACTAACACTTTTAATAGAAATCAATCTTTTAATATAAGAAAAAACTCACATAGTCTTATTCAACATTTTTACCATGCAGCTGAAACCATGAAAAGAAAAAAAGAATAAGAATTTTTAGTGATACTCTAGTAGTAGTAATAGTTGTAACCAAAGAGTAGAACGTAAAAGAAGGAGAAGAAATGAAAGGGTGTTGTATATACACGCGAGAATAACCGCGAATAGTATGCGAGCACTAGCCAAGACTTAAGGGTTCTACTCACACCGAATTTCAAGTACACAACTCCGAACCTGCTTTGAATATAGCCTCTTTTCATATTTTCGTTGAAACTCTGTTCTTTCTTTTTCACTCTCTCTCTCTCTCTCTCTCTCTCTCTCTTTCTTTCTCTATTTTTTCTCTCTCTCTTTCTCTCTCTCTCTCTCTCTCTCTCTCTCTCTCATACATTCGTAACACCGCTACAACGATTTTCTTCGGCCCTTCTTTTACCTCAACACGAGACGATATTTTATTTGCAAGGAACCTGCTTGCAGGTTGCTGTGCTTCTCTCTTATCTTGTGTACACAGGAATTTCATCGCGGTACGGAGATTTCGTGTTGTTAAAGTTAGAAAGATAGACTGTGAGAAAGAGAGAGAGAAAAAAAGAAAATAAAAAAGAAAAGAGAAAGAGGGGTGATGGTGGAGTGTCTCTTTTCTTGATCTTTCTTTTTTCCCCCTTACGTTTCGTCTATCTTTCATTAACTCTTCTCGTTTCTACCTTTCTCGTAGGGTTCCTTGACTATGTTTCCCTCTTTCTCTTTTTCTCTCTCTCTTATACCTTTTGCACAGATGATAAGATGAATTATTTATGAATAGCAGTCGGGAACAAGTCGTATCGAGCACGCTCGAGGAACCCCTGGCACTGGTAGTGCTGCTGCACGACGTTTGATACGTATCCACATTTGTCTCTTTCGTGATAAGTTTTGTTCTTAGGTTAGAAGAGACATGAATTTTCTTTATATATTTTACCATGAGAAAATTTTCTTACGATTCTATTATATATTAAATGTCGAGAAACCGAGTTATCGAGAATATTTATAATATTGCTAAAAAAACAAAGTTAGAGGATACGTTTGTACAAATTCATTTTCTTTGCAGTTTTTAATATAATTTAATATAATATATTCATAATTATTTAATAATAATAATAATTAAAATTAATAATTTTATTTTTAATTACAAAATTTGTCATTGCAATTTTAATTATATTGAAATATATTTACCCTAAAAAATATACGAGAATATATTTATATTATTGATAAAATCGATGACGAATGAAGAATGATGTATTGGTAAGAGATTTTATTTTTCGTGAAAAGGGTGTTTCTAAAAATGTCATGAAACGTCAACGACGTTGGATTTTCTTCTCGTTGAAAAGTACGAGGAAAAAGACTTGTAACGAGTTACGTGACTTCTCTTGTGTATACTTTTCCAATTGTCGAAGGATTTTCTTTTAAAGATAAGAATATAAAAAACAAAAAGAATGATAGATGTTACTTGAATAATACGAAACACGTATGTATTCCCAGATCTCGAAGAAAATCCTGGAGGTGAAAGAAGATATTACTTGTTGAAAAATGACGTTAAAATACAACACCTGAATATCTTTTTTTCTCGTCGTATCGTTAGTGTTTCAGTATCCGTTCTTTCGTAAAATAGATATCGCAATTTTTTCTTGTCTTACTTAGTAAATATAATTAAATACCTTAGTGTAATCTATCGTGAAAAAAGTAAACAACCTTAGTGATATTGCATCCTGTAAAGTATTACGAGCACAAGTTTTTTCTTTCAACAATCTTTGTGAAAATTTCGTGCAAGTTTTTTTTTCCTATGCTCACCGTATGAAAAATAAAAATAACGAAAGTTGATCTTATATAATTTTACATACACAAGTATATTTTTTAGAAAGAAAATTTATGGAAAGGGATGAGGAATTTCAAAGGTATACACAGAATGACAATAATCGAGTATTTTGAAAAACGTGTTTTATTAATTTATCGAAAAAGAGCATTTGATATAAAAAAAAAACTTGTCACAAAAAATTGTCACATAAAAGAAAAAAAAAAGAATACAAAAAGAGAAAAAAAGAAAAGCAGAAAATAAACAATTAGTCTTAAATGTCAGCAGCGTGGTCGATCGATCGAAAGATAAAATCCTTAAAGGGCACCGGGTTTTTGGAAGGTAGATTATCCATAGCAGGTCCGAGTGGTCACGCAACTAACGTGTCTCGAGCTAATAGAGGGATAACGTAAAGGTGACGTGGCAAAGTGGCCCAATGGTTCGTGAAAAATATGCAGGGCTCGTTGAGGGAGGTGAAAACATCTGCGCCTGGTTTTAGTTGGCATTTTCGTCGTCGTCATTCACCAGATTGGTTCAAACAAGAGAGAAAAGAAAGAAAGAGGGAGAGACAGTAGAACAGCATCTTGCGTTCGAAACATCAAATATTTTATGGAGTGTATCACACTATCCGAGAAATCGAACGGCACGAGCAATACTCCCTCGTAGATCATTTTTAACACCTATGAATTATTTCACTCACGTGTAATATAATGTATTTCGTTTTTCTTTGATTTATATACGAAGAACGAGATAACACTTTTAGTAATTTTTGACACGAAATATATCTAATAATCGAATTTGAACGCGCACTGACTCAATACGTGGTAACACTACTTGCGTTATGTTTGATTTTGTCAAAAAGCTATGAAGGATAAGAGAAGAATATAAAAGATAAAA